AGCCTGATGTAGATTTTGCGTGAAAAAATGCTTGTCTGTGGAAGTTCAATTTTTCTATTTATTATGGTACAATTCGTGTTGTACTTGTACACCGCACAAGGCTGAATTAAAACATGGCATTTAGTTATTTATTTATTTTTTTATTACAAATATTGCAAACCTCCTGCCTGCCCCTGGTTTTCCCTCTTTTCAACTGAAGTAAATTACATTCTCCAGGAAAGTAATAAATGTGCCCATTGGCGAGTGTCCTTGTGCATGGGTGAACCTTTAAAGAATAGTTATGAATCATGAAAACGTTTAAATGTCTCTGACCCATTTGTCTCTATCATTTACCTTTAAGATACAGACGAAGAAAAATGACTTTTTAAGTAACCTTCAGCACCTCTTCAACAATCGCTATTCACCATCCTGCTGGCGCGTTCGCATACCTGACGAAAAAACGTAGCGGTCCTACGCCACCATAGTAATTTTAACGGATTTTTGAGGGCGTTGTCATTGAGTTGTTTTATACTACTTTTGTGGTTGTTCTTAGTTGTAAATAGGTGGTTATGCCTCTGACTTGGTGTTATGTAAATGAACCATATATGTTTTATTCCTTTTCCTGAAGGCCCGTTTTTTTATTGATTTGAGGAATGAGATGATGTCACTATGGGGTGATGCATAGACAACAGTGTATTGATAATAATGTGTGTGTGTGTGTTTGTGTGTGTGTGTGGCCCCATTCACATAGACATCATCGGTCTATGTGGATCGACCCAACTTTTCAGGGACTCTCGCTGACTGCAATCAGCTAAACTGAATGGCACGCCTCCTGCTGGCGTTGAGTAGAATACAAAAAAGCTGGTGATTATAGGCCTACGAGCACGTTGGAAACAAGAGGGGGCGTGTCATTTAGTTAGGCTGATTGCATTTAGCGAGAGTCCCGGCAGAGTTGGGTCGATACACATAGACCGATGATGTCAATGAGGATGGGGTCTTCTATTGAGAGAGAGAGAGAGAGAGAGAGAGAGAGAGAGAGGGAGGGAGAGATTAAGTGAGAGAAACAATATATATATATATGTGTGTGTGTGTGTGTGTGTGTGTGTGAGAGAGAGAGAGAGAGAGTGAGAGAGAGAGTGAGAGAGAGAGAGATCACAAGTCGCGGGTCAGCATTTCCCCTCTGCAACCCACAGCTGCATAACTCAGCACATAGTCGAAAAATCAGTAGAAATCATTACTGGCTGCACAAACTACAACCGCATTATATCTCCAGAATGCAAATATGATTGCTCATTGATCCATTTACAAGAAAATTAAATTTCTTCTTTTGAAAGGACTAACAAGCCATGGTGAGCACATGGTCCACCTTTGACGCGGCTAGCTTGAAAGATATACGAGTAGTTGAACATCCGAGCCCACTGGTGAGATAGAGAAACAGCAGTGACACGGTAGAAGATGTGGGTCCGTCTAGCCATAACAGCAGGCCTTCTCTGCTCAGTACTAGGTGAGATAACGTCTATATTTCTTTCTTTACTGTGGTATTGATCATAGAATTGGGTGGGAAGAAATATCGCTCTCATATCTATTTGGGTATAACGTTGTGTACAAGTTCTCACCCCAAGCCGTAGTTTATCATTGTACTGTATTCATTTGAACTTTGCCTACTGTTGTTTTTTTTTCTGGTTTTTTCGAAGAACGTTTATAAAGTACAAATGGCAATTTTAATGCTTTTAAGATGATGAGATTATTATCTTATTACTGCATGAACAAAGAGAGAGAGAGAGAGAGAGATAATACGCTTTCATTAACAAATTTTAGCGGAATAATTAAAAAAGTTATCCACATCTTTATTAAAAAAAGATTTCCATCAAGTTCACGTAAGAGTGCGAAACATGTATGCTATGTGGATAGCCCTCACGGCCATTCACATGCATGACGACGAAATGCCCCGAATTTAATCATTGTAGGTAAAAAAATCTTTGCATGACGACGAGAAAAGACCAGATAATTGTTACCTTAAAACATTTGGAACCATGAATTTATGATACTTTAAGTAAGTAATGAAATATCGAATATACCCATTGAAATAATCTGTTCATAATTGGTTCTTAGAACTGCAAAGGGGTGGGTAAAAGACACTTCAGTGCACTGTATATAATAGTTGAAAGTCATACGGTGTGACACACGAATTTTTCAATTTCACGCCGTTTATCCCAAAATAAGCTCCGACACGGTTGCTGAGAATAGTATCATGATGCCTTCATCAATTTCTCCATTTGAAATCGACCAGATGAAGTCACTGTTGTTGATCCGTAAGATATGATTCATTTGCATCTGCGGATGGGTCTATTTCTTTGCAGAGCAGTTCATTTCACACAGAGTACCTGTAAAATCATTAAGCAAGAAACTGATTAAGTGAAAAAAAAAGTAACCTGTAAATTTTAATGATCTCCACTGTTTCTCTCATTCTCTCCCAGCAGGCCAAGTTGTTACATTTTTTAAATGTTCACTTTTTAAATTTTGATACGGCAGAGTTAAGGCAACTCTTTACATGTACTGGAGGTCAAATTAGTGATGAAATTAATTCTTGCAAAAAATCTCGCTCACAGTAGAAAAATTTGTCACAAATAAGCCAGAGACATATCGGTGAACATATAGTGAAAAATCAATCTGTGGCCCTGGTAAAGTGTATGGTAATCCAGTTAGAAACTGTTTCGAGTGTGACGAGTTACGAAAAAAGAAAAAAATCAAACCCAAATCTCTTGTATTGAATTTGTTGGTATCTATAGCCAATTGCTAACAGATTGTTTCTTAACTCTACTAGTATGTGACTAAAGAGCAGCATACAGTCTACACTTGCCTGTAGATTAAATAAATTGTCATAATCGAAAACCATTTCTGGTAATATTAGATACAGATACGCTAACAATATCAACGACACATGGGCAAGTGGTCTATATTTTCGAGGGAACAAAGGTAAAATATAAGGCCTTTACGCGTACCTTCTAACGCGGAGATTTTTTCACCAGAAATTGATAGTTATTTATCCGGCTGTTCACTAGCTGCACAATTCTCTACTGAGACAAGCATTTCCACTGATCTAGCCTCTGGAAGAGAGTACTTAACTCTAGTCTGTGCAGGAGGGTTCTTTTCTTCCTTTCTTTCTTTCTTTCTTTCTTTTGGAAAGAATTTGCATCTCTCTCTCTCTCTCTCTCTCTCTCTCTCTCTCTGTGTGTGTGTGTGTGTGTGTGTGTGAACGCGAGTTTCTCTTACTGTATTTGTGTGTGCCTGGGTAGGAGCGACAGTTGCGTTGACAATATACGCGAGTCTACATGCTGCTTCTAGGGCCGTTTACTGGGGTCTTGTTCAACGTAAGAAAACTAGGTCCATCCTGTCGCTTACACGTGAATCTATTTTGAAATAAGAGCACCTTCCCACGTTTGGCAATCCTATACGCTATCATTTAAAAGAGAGACTAATTGACCTGAATTCGTCGCGGGTCACTTAATTCAGGGGCAGTATTAATTCAATGTCGGGTAACTCGTTCATCCTTGTTACACGCTTGGTTTGTTGAACTTCAACTGCAGAGTGATGGAATTCTGTCTATTGTCTCCACTGGAGTGTCGTTAATTAGTGGCGACAGAGCCTTAATTCTGTGTGCATAGAAGCTGGTGGTGGTGGAGAGAGAGAGAGAGAGAGAGAGAGAGAGAGAGAGAGAGAGAGAGAGAGAGGGAGCGGGGGATCTGCTTGTAAAAACCTTGCGCGAAACATAAATCATGAAAAAGGAGAGTGTTATCTTCAACAACAACGTACATTTCGAATCGTTTGCGGTAAGATATCGAATCAGACAATATATCACTCCATGAGGTGACCTGTCTACTTCAGTTCACTTCATACCACTGCTCCTATACTTACGTGTATCAAATGTTTCAAGTGGGGGAACCCTTCAAGACAAAGCGATAACACCCTCTTATACTTCAATTCAGCACTGATCATTTGAAGCATCAAAAGCATGCCAAAGTGGTGTTCCTACAACGTGCTTGCTTCACAATTTTTTCTCTAATAGCGGTCAATCTTGCGATTAAAAAAACACACTAAATCGCACGTGTGACCAGACCGTTAATTTTAGTTATAATGCCTTTTCCACATTTTAATTTCGGGCGTGAACGAAAACTTGTGGTCAGTTTTGACCAGTCTTAACGAGAAACTACTGGGCAAATAAATAACCCTTATAAATCACCTATTTCTTCCCACCCTGAAGTTCAAGGAAACCTTTCACGTACTGACCGGTATGTGGATATTCGGAATATTATCTTTCAGAGTTTAAATATTATACCAGGATTGAAGCTAGCTATTTTGAAACGGGTATTTTTCTAGAGTGGATCTTTGTACCTACTTGTTGGCATGTAGTGTAACCTAGACCAACTTTTGATCCAGAGAAGACGTTTTTTCTGGCCAAATGGAAGGCTCGTTCCCCCCCCCCCCCGCCCCTCTCCCGCCGCCCGTCTTCACGACTAGAAAAATTCTGAGGGTGAACTCCCTTGACCTTCGAGGTGGCGTGGTTCAGATTCATGTTATCGGATATATTGGCTGCAAGAGAATGATATATGCTGGCTTCTTATCATAGCTTTTTCTCTAACGGTAAATGCACACTATACACTCATATTATTCTGACATTTTAGCCACCGTTGAAGTTTGTATTTTTTCGTTGTGGTTAGTGTTATGTTATGTGTTGGGGCGAGAGTGAGACGGCATTAATACTTATTAAAGATGTTGAGAGATTTTATTTGCACCATATTCACACATACATTTTTATGCGGCATATACAAGTAAAACTATCATCACGAATGCTATAAAGGAGTTACATATGTGAAGCGCATGGCAATTTTAAGCTTCATATGGGCTAACACTAAAGCCAGTTATCTATTAATAAATACATATCACTCAATCAATCATATACAAGTGACCCAGTATTGTATACAGTTTAGCATGCCCAAGTTGCTTCCTCGTTCTTGCAGGCACATAAAAATCAAAATCGTAAGGAAGACGGTCTTAAAAAATTAGCGCTTGGGGGGATCTCGAGCAAGGAATGGCTATTTATAAATCATAAAAGGATTTTTTTAGCAACAGCTTATTTCGAATCGCTTGTGGTGAGGTATCTTATCAGACAATATATCATTCTCCGAAGGGAACTGTCTACTTCAGTTTATTTCATACCACTGTTCCTTACGTCTATCAAATGTGTCAAGAGGGGGGCGGGGAGAAGAAAGCGGCAAAAAATGTGGACGTGAAGATGAACATCGGTTGACAAGGGTCCCGGCCCCCGGCGTATGAAAGGCCCGTACAGTACGATGTATTTGGTTGGGGTGGTGGTCAGAGTACTGCCCCTTCGGCCCGGGGTGGGGTGGGGGGTGGGGGTGGGGTAAGGGTGGCGTTTAATTCAATTAAACCTTGCTCCCTCCTAGCCTCTTGTTTTCACTCAATAATTCTAATTATGGCGAGACTCCTTTGAAGGCTATAAATGTAACCATATTATTTTGAATATTTCCAGGAAAAATTTTAGACCCATGCAGTATTACAGAAGTAACTCAGACGTCTTCTGTGCTTTACCCTGATTGTATAGACCACCAGGGGGCAACACATGGTCTAGTAGAGCAAGATGGGCTCAATATCACTTTTGAAACACCTTTCAAGTTTTTTGGAGAACCAAAATCTTCAGTATTGGTAAGGCATATATATATATATTCCATCGATTGCACTGAATAATCATAATGCAAATATATCTCTTGATGTACTCTTTAACATTGTATCTTCTGATATGCCTTTGTAAACTTAGGTCATATTTATACACAGAATATACATGTTTATATTATATATTACCGCATGAACAGGTAAGCACGCTGACATGCATGCACATGCATCATAATGTTGTCATAAAGATATATACTTGATAACACATGAACACAAACACTGCATATAGACCCCAACTGTGTACGAGTCTGAATCAGGACCAAAAAATTTACCAGGCACATTGTCATCTATTGTAAACTGAGACGTAGTGAAGAGAGGTATACACATGAAAAAAAAAAAAAAAAAAAAAAAAAAACAGACCTCATTTTTTCTCCTATACTTTTCATTGTATGCTCACATACACGGAAGCAAGAACGCTCTTTTAAAGTAACTGAAACATGAATAAAGTTTTTGTAAAATATTATTTTTTTCTATCTTTTCAGGCCTATGATAATGGTGTTCTTTCTTTCGCACCCCTGGGAAAGCCCGATTATTTGCCCCTTGTCGAGAATATTTCCCTCATCGCCCCGTATTGGACAGATGAAAGCAGCGCACTCTATCGGAAGACAAGTTGCGGTGTGACGTCAAACGAATTTCTGTTGGAGAGACTTGGGTTAGATCTCACGAGTGCGTTAGGTGTGACGTCGTACTACCCGCACTGGGGCTTCCTATGCACGTGGGAGAGAGTGCAGGATGGAAAAGCGGGCAACGAAAGTAGTCCGGCAGTACAGGTAGGGCCTACCGGATTTACGGTGGACTATAAACATCTCATAAATATGAATAAAAATGAAAGAAAATGATAATTAAAAAGATTAATGGGGTATTGTGGGTGTGTTCTAAAGCGATGTAGCACTCTTTCAGAATTTTTTAATTTCATATATTTTTTGTAATGGTGGGGGGGGGGGGGGATTTAGGGGCGTAAAGCCACAGCGTCCTCCTTTCTTGTCTTATTTTCTCCAGTAGCCTAGATGTGAATAGCATTTTTAATTTGTAATACGTCGTGTTTGTTTTATATTGTCAGATTATAAATGTCCTGTAATGTTTATTTTTTTATCCACTAATTGAATGAATTTTTATTGTAGAGTGCGTTCCAAGCGGCTTTGACCAGCGACGGGAATTATTCGTTTGTCATTTTCAATTATGTTGGCGTGGGAGATGAGACAGCGAACAGAAAACTTCCTCCCGTTCAGGTAAATATAAAAATAGATTACAGTTTGCAATGAAAAAAGAAAAAAAAAAACAGGTCAATTATCTGTTGATAAAATAATTGAATTGGAAATTGATTAATGAATAGTTAACAGTAAAGAATGGTAAAGTCTGTAGGTCTGGAGGTTTGCTTGTTTGTTGAACAGTTCTATTTAATACTTTTTCTGTAATCTTAATAATATCATATTGCTCAGTGCACAAAAACGACACATGAGTCTTTGATACGTATCCCTTGCTAAATGAATTAACATTTATATTACCTCCATTTTAGGCAGGGGTGGACGCGGGGGATGGCATGACGTTTTGCAGTTTAAAGGGCAGTGGGAAGAGAAGAATACACCGATCTCTTCAGTCGTCCAACGTCGGAGAAGTAGGAAGATGGATCTTCCGTGTAGACGCCATTGATCTAAGAGTGCCCGGATGTATCAGTTTAGACCCCAAAAAGTTCCTTAATCCACCGATGTCGGTTGTTTCTAGAAATTTAAGGAGGAGAAAGAGTCGCAAGAAGAAAAAGGGGAAATCCCGCCGACGCAAGCGCCAAATCAGAGAATTTACTCAAACTCATAGCTACCAACGGATCGTCAAACTGAGACAAGAGATGACGGACTTGCAAGGACGCGTTGACACAATGTCGAAGGGAGAACAAGCGACACAGTCCTTTATGACTGAAATTAACCGGCGTTTGCCAAGACTGAGGTCTCAGGTGAGCCGCCTCAAACATGAACTGCGTAGTCTGACACACGCAATAAGTCAACTGGACCGAGAAATGGGAAGACTTAGCCAAACAACAGACGACTCCATGTTGCGAAAACGCATGCAAGACATATCTCAAGACATTATGACAACTGACAGGCAACTAAGCCAGTTTCTAGCACGGATACGAGACTTTGAGCACAGATTGTCAAATTTTGATGTAAGGAGAGAGCAAACAGGGCAAGGTATAATGTTTGGCATAAACCAGGACATTGTTGGTCTTGGCAACGAGCTGACGAAGTCAATGCAGCACGTACAATCACTGGAACGCTACCTCGTCAATGCAATAAGTCAGCATTTTCAAACAACCAGTGACAACGCGTACATGTGGAAATACAGAAGTCTTGAAAGAGATCGGTATCGCAAAATTAAGTCTATCAGTCAGCAAATGCTTGGAACCAGACACTCAGCAAGATTAGTTGATTATCGCCTAAAACGAACCGATCGTGAATTAAAGCGACTGAAACGGATCGAAGGGGTTATGAATGATTATTTGCAAAAGTACAACCGTCAGCATTCTCTGCTACAAAACGACATGGGTCGCGCCACTCACACGCCGGTAGAGGTCATGCATACCATGACAAACTTCGACCGACAGCTGGAGGCCGAACAGCAGAAGCTTCAGGAGATTTCAAACAAACTTCGCAGTCAGAGCCACTTGGCGTCTGGATTAAGAAGGGATATTCCCCGCTTTGAGAACCAAATGGGCTACATTCGTGATCACGTACAGAAATTATCAACTCAAGTTTTTGCACAGCAAGGGAAATTGTCAAGCACGGGGCGCTTCATCAACGCCGTGCGACAAACTTTAACTCAATTGCACAGTAAACTGAGGAACGGTAACCGTCCCCAACAGCAAAGAGAACGCGACATGGCGTTTCTTAGCGAGAATCTCGCCAAATCGAGATCTCAGCTTCGTCTGGCGGAGCGGCAGCTGGAAAGCGTGTACCGCTACCTGCAACTTATCGGACGACAGATGACGCAAACGGCAGAGTATCTTCAAACATTGAGCCGATATTATATGCAATATATGAGACGAAGGGATTACTATGGTCGCCCAACTAGCACTAACAATGTTTCCGAAAGGCTTGGCCAACTTAGTCGAGTACTTTTTGACCTCAGTAGAGACTTAAAGAGGGCAACTAAATAATATTGTTTTGTCATAAATGTTTATTCGCAAAAGTATGATTTTAGTGTTGGACATAACAAGGTTTTTAATTTTTCTCCGAAAATGCTGCAAAATCACCGTTTCTTTATTCCATATGAGAATCGTTAAATCACATTAGCTACCTTTTCCCCTTATCATAAATGTATTGTTTTAATTACCAGTAAACCATTTATTTTATAATAGTAAACAACAAACAAATTACCTCCAGTTTCTCTCTACATGACTAATCTCCTCTTGCACATAAACAGGGAATCGCCTGTTGCTTTCTAACGTATTGGTAGTGGGTTACTTAAAGGAGCCCACAAAACGCCCCGGTTATTCGAACTCCTTGCGTATAACCTAACCACACAAGTGCCAAACATCACCACTGCCATTTTGCATTCGTCATTTGTTAAAGTAATTAAGTAGAGTGTATACGTATCTAACTTATATTATATAATTAAGAGACCGAATATCTGTGACTTCTTATACAGTGTACTTTATAATAAAAAAAGAATGTCACCATCCGTATCATTTTTGAGATTAGAATAAGGTTGCTTTGAATAATTACAGTGTACTGAATAGGGGTTAACGCCGTATACACAGATCAATGTTTGTAACGTTTACATAAACCTATGAGATCTAATGCATCAGAACTGGGATCATATCAACAGAGAATTAATACATACGCTCTCTGATTACACAACACAGATCTACCGGTAGACATTGCTCGGAAACTATATTGTGTGCAGTGTTTCACAAATCTCTTGTTCAAAATATTTAAACTAGTTTAACCTTTGTATCCTCCAGACTGCTTTTTATGCCAATGTATTTGATTTAGATGTTTTAATAAATATGACAAGCTTGTTTTAAACATTTCCGAAGAAAGTGACAAAGGGAGCAGGATCACGAGATTAAATATTGACTTTGAAGCTAACTGGTTCTAGTATTGACTTCAGTTTGCTGCTCTGTGATACATTGTATACCAACATATTTTGTTTGCTTCTCAGTTAGATGCTGACTCCATTTCATAAAATAGAATCAACTGCGTTTCTGCTTGTAATTACGGAATGCATGTTAAATGTCATACAGTGTGTTAGCAATGAAATTTCATAACTTATCATCATTAATAAAGAACGAAATATATACAAAAACAAGAATAACTGTAGTTTATTTTCTTTGAACTCTGTAGCATTTGTTGGTTGTCTTGTAACTAGTTTTGTAAATCACGTGAGGATTTTTTTTTTTGCTCTGGGAAAGCGCCCATTATATCAGTTTCTTTGATTACACATGCTCATTCGCCACTAAGTCGCCATTGCCTGGTTTCCTGTTAATGATTTTAACCGTTTACAATAGTAGTAGATTGAATGGTTTGTTTGTTCCTTGTGATCAAACAGCACTACTGCTTTAAGCAAAATAATATATGACCGGTGTGACGGGACTGGAAGACCGCTATAGAACCGTAGTCCATTCCCTTTTTCGCACAGATTTCATCGAGAGGGATTGACCTCGAAAAAGCATAAAAAGCAAGTGCAGATAAAAATTCTAATGAAATACATGTATTTTATTATAAGCTTTTCATATAAAACATTAAGTTAATTAATCATAATCGAAGATGGTCAAGCTTTTTTCTTTCTTACACATCTGAATCTTTTCAGAATTGTCTCTTCAGAACCTTGCTACTTTTTGTAGTCCTGCGACTGTTTCTTTATGCAACCAAGTGTTGCTGAATTTCGGGAAATTTTCATCATTCTTAATTTTTGAAAATTTAGTTTTCGGTTCATGCAAACCGGTAGAAAAATAAAAAGTGTGTGAATGCATTATTGTGCTATGGATTCTCTACTTTTGGTCTGTGATCGTTAAAACCCCCCTTGACACTGGGCAGCGTCCTTTCTGTGTCCTTTGTGCAACCAAGAAACTGGCATCGCTGTGGTCGTAAAAAGGAGGCACAGGCATCACTTAGGTTGCAGAATGAATGCTCAGAGATCTACCAGTTTTCGGCACGTAAAGTACTATTTTTTACTCTTAAACAAGGCCGTACGATAGGACGCAGAGAGGACGCCGTCCAGTGTAAAGGGGGCTTAATAACACAACCTTCCTAGTTACGCGGTAGATGTAAAATTATGAAATCCTGAATATAAATCTGCACACACTATACTTGGTCATAGGCGGAAGGAAAAAAAACGTTCGTTTTAAAGTGATCAATAATAAATTGACATTTAACGCGACTATGTTATTGATTGTTACAAAACCGTGTACATGTATACGTGCATTATCACTTGGCTAAATTACATCGTAAAAGCAGTCATCACTTACTTCAGTCATTGTTTCGATTATTTTCATTTGGTGAATATAGGTAGCAGTTATGCAATACTAATTTTGATCCGACAAACTAGACGACAGTTATGGTATACATCAACAGAAGATTTAGACAACTATTACTTGCAGTATACCTTACCGTTTTTATCGTCATTTCGAAAGCTGTTTCGCTACGGTTGACTCCAGTACAGTGTGTGATGAGAGAAATACAGCGAGGCACCTGTCAGTATTCAAATGTTACTGATTTCAATTCTTGTATTCTGATCGGGTATGGGCAACGACCAGCGCGGTATAGCAAAGCCTCACAGTTGTGCCTAATAGACGAAGCTGTGGGTAGGTCGTAAATAAATTTTAGTATTTATCTTTTCATATATTTATATATTTACTAATTATGTATATATCTATCTTTATATCAATGTAGGTATTTTTTATTTATATTTTATCTTTATTCATTGTTTTTTTTTCAGTCAACATTGGATGCTGGAAAGACACCGCAGTGCGAGCCATCCCTACTCTAGAAGGCGCGGATCCTATTCTGGATGGTTATTATTGGACCAGGATCAACGCCACTGAAAAGTGCTATGCTGCAGCAAGGAAGAGAGGGTATATTTATTTCGCTCTTCAGAACGGTGGCTGGTGCGCCTCGTCTCCGACTGCCGAGTTAACCTACACGAAGTACGGACGCTCTACAGCGTGTAATGTTGCTGGAACGGGAGGAGGATTGGCCAACCAAGTTTACAGAATAGATACTTAACCAAGTCGCATTAGCGGTGACTTTATCTTAAAAACTGGACGAGCTTCAGGCACTGACAATTGTTTAGCCGACTGCATTTATTTCAAAAGCTATTTAGTTCTGTGTTAAAGCAATATGAAATAATACAAGCAAAAATGCACAAAATTGTCATTACATGTACATGTATGATGCCAACCACCTATAGTCTGATGTTGACTGATTCCTTGGAAACTTGGTTTGGCGAGTTTTGCCACTGTTCCCTCAAAAAAGATGCTGACAATTTTCTGTTTTGGCTACACATCTGGTTGGGTTTATTTTAATAAAATTAAAATTTTCCAGGCTGATTGTTGAGAAGGACGATCTATGCTTATGTCTTGTCGCGTATGTTTCGTTGTACGTTGCCGATGGACGATCTTACAGACAGTTTCTTGAGTAATTTCAATGGAAACAGCGACGTCTTCTTGTTCGCGCCGAAGCAGCACATCCACAATATTAGAAAGTCCTCCCTCAGGCTTTAAGACGAGGCATTGGCATCCTTCCAACGTGCTGAAAAAAATTGACTTGCAACCGAAAACACCAGTGATTGCGTCATCAGAGTAGAGTACGTATGGCCAGATCTGTTCTGCTAAGATCCGTTATACAGGGTACACAACTCTCACCCAAAATTTTGAATCACTGAAATAATATTTTGTCCAATCTCGTGACTTGAACATTGTTTGTTGGTAAAGGTAACAACCAGCTTTATAAAGGGTGTAGTGACAGTTATCACAGATTAAATATGTATGTCTAATTTTCAAAATAATTTCCATCATTTCTAGCATATTAATCAAAAACACTATTATTTGTTATACGAGTAAAGTTTTGTACAGTTAACATGCATGGTATTTGACAAACTAATCTTGTAGCTAGAAGTCCAGTAACTATTAACGTTAGCTATTATGCTAGAAATCGATCTGGTTCAACAGAACTTTGCATTGACAAGACTTTGTTGATTCCCTAACATTACAAATAAAGACGTAATAATGCCTTTGATTTATTTGACACCAACGAGAAAACAATGGATTTTCAAGCGGTCTTTATCAAGTCACCCAAAATGTGGGGAGTTACACGTAATGTCTGCAAGAGGAGTATTGTTTTTCTTTCCAACTGACTTGATTTTGCCGACTTCAATTCAAAGTAAGGCGATTTTATTGATCTCGGTTAAAATTCATGTAGCCACCGGAAGCGGTCTTAAACCCAGGCGTCTACTGGTATGTCCTGCACTTGAGCAACTCCAATGGTAATGGTATGAGGCCAATGAATGCCAAAAAATGTTAAAGTCCGTGATGCAGAATGAAATGTTTTGAAACCATTTTATTGAAATGTTTGAAATCGCGTTTGAAACAAGCGTTTGATCGTTAAATCTATATAATTATATTGAATCTACGACGATTAAACAAGTAGAGAATTAAACTACTAGACGGTTTTCCTGTTTCCTGTTTTACTCTGAGTTGCCTCCAAAATCCCTCCTTCCTGTTAGCCGACGTAATGACCAATACCTCAAGTCAAAAATTGACTTTTGTTGACTAAAATAATGCTTTGATAAATTTTGAATTAAACTGCACTTTAAAAAATGGATAACAATCTAAACATGGAACCAGCGCGATAACATGAAGGTAGGGCCTACATGTATAAAGACTGGCCCATTGAAAAGTAATAGCCATTAGGCTGCGCACTGCATTTTGAATAATACCACGGCGAGAAAAAAGGCAATAATACTATTTTAACATTTAAATTGCCTATGCCTGTTTGCAACACTTAAATTTAACGGGAAATCAATGCTGTTTCATCCATGACGTTTATACAAGGAAATGACAGTTTCAGGAAGCCCTTTTATAATTTTGATTTTGTTCATTAAAACTGACATTGACAAATGTCTTGTGCAAACTGCCCGACATATAATATTACACAATGAAATATCCTGGTATACGTTTCAATTAAAATTGTACTTTTGATTATAAAGTCCATTAAAGGTCGTGGGTAGATTACTATATGATGTATGTCAGATGCACTGAGGATAGATGATAATGCTTGTGTAGCATAGTGTATATAAATTGCTGTAGTTGTGCACCAATATTGTAAAACACAATGCCTACTGTTCCTTTAGGAAATACGTTGTATTTTTCGTCTCCAAATGTATTATTTATTACTAGTATTATATACAAATGTATTGTTTATCACTGTAACTATTATATTATTATTTTGATACAAATGCACTAGATAAAAAAGCAAGCATGTTTTGCAATAGGCTAGGTTAATTGATATTACATCTTTTTAATCATCTAACTGACAAGAAAGGGCAATATTCACCATTTCAGCCGAAGTTTGGATAACGCACAGATACTTGACAAAGTAAAAAAATTCAAAGAGGGTCGCCAAATAGACCAACAATAACAAATGTTAATTTGATGCAGTGGCATGACCAAACATCATAGCTATATTGTACGAAACCTGTTCTTGGTTAAGTGCCTATTGTAGCATTATAATTATGCTGAAACAGCGCATTTTTCGATTGCATTGTTTCCTGCTGACGATTCCGTGTATTGTTGCAGTACCCAGTAAATTGAATGACATGCTCTCCCCTTATAACAATAGAAATTAATTAAGTTGATAACAAAAACATACATTTTTGATTTTTTGTCTGTTGCCGATGAAAACTGACCCCCCCCCCCAACTTAATCAAACGCATGCATAAAAGAAATTATCATGATAATAATATTGCCATTGTACGAAATCATAGAAGATAAGATGCTCAAAAATTTTAATCGTTGTAACTAAAAATAAAACACATGCACTGGTATGATAATGTAATACACCTTCCACTTTCTAGCAAACTCATTTAATCAAAATACGCCAGGTAAAGCAACTGATACGAATACTCGTGTGAACGTGCTGAGTGGCCATATAGACAGATCAGATGCCACTTTGTCTTCAATGTGATCGATAAAATGCTGACGCCCTAGACCTATTGCAATAAATTTATTGATTGTACATGCACTTTCTACTAAGAATTGGCTCATAAGAGGCTTACAACTTGGCTAAAATACAAGCAACGTGCATTTAATTTGTTGGGCTACAAATG